ATGTCATCTTTTAAAATTCACATTCTATGACTTCAGGTGTTGCATCAATATAGTGATAGTGATGCAATAATGAATGAAAACAATTCTCATTGTAACAAGCATGATAAGAAGAGGCAACAAAAGACTGCTGCTTTACGTCACAAATACTTTTACTTCACTTTATCAAACCTTCAACGACCCAAGCAATATCCATTCTGCAATCAAACCAACCCACCATCCATTCAGCTATCAAATATCCATTCGTTCAATAGCTACAATTAAAAATTTATCCATCGTTCCCTCGTTTCACTCTCAGATTTTCTTCCATCTATCGATCATCACCACTCTTTTAACATTACTGTTGATACCAAATGACTGATAATCTTATCATTTTGCATTATATGCTTTATCTAGCCTGCATATCTCCTCATATTCTCAAATCTTTTATCCGTTTATTTATTTCGAATGATGAAACATCGAGCTGTAGTTTGCTCCTTACTCGTTCCTATCAGTTCCCTCGTTTGGCCTTTTGATGCAGGATTGGTTCATGTAAAAACTGAGAGCAAGATGTAAATATGCATCAACACAGAGAATCGTTTCTCATGAAAAGTGTCATAAAAGATTTTCGAATATCCACTGAAAGTAATTTCAAAAGACCACATTTCAGAGCATAAACGCGTTCGATTCGGCACAACCCATCGTTCACAATCCTCCATACCACCACAGCGACCATTATTCGCGACATCGTCCTTACCAAGCACTCATCAAGATATTCACTCCTTAACAAATCTCAACAATCAACTACTCCATAATCAATTACCATTTAATGTCGCTGTATCTCTGAGCACTCCAACCCCCATTGACTCACTCTCGAATCAAACCTTATCAATCAATCAGTTCAAACCAATCAAATTCAAATCCAAACTAACAACCTCTTCCCCTTTTTCTCCACTTCATTCAATAACATCAGCTGCTCAAGCAACATCAATATCTGCAAGCAGCGTCGTCCCTAATCAGCGACTTCACCATCCAAATAACAGCACCAATCCCGCCCATCGTCTAAAATCAATTCTAACCAATAGTCATACCTTTCCGGTTATTGATAGGTCGATGGATTTCACTTTACAAGATTATGCGGCTCGATCGCATAGTATTTCAGCACCGGTTAGTCCGTTTTTTAGTGTTTCATTCGATAAGTCTTAATCTCCTAAACATATCTGATACATTGATTCGTTTACCAAACTTATCACTTTGTTCATTACAATCAGGAGGCTAATATTTATCAGTAACATTCATGCTATTANTGTATCGCTCATTTTATCGCAAACTAACTCAACTTTCATCATTCTAGCTTCAATCATTTATCAAGGAAGTCACTTAGAAACGGTAATAAATTTAGTGATGAAAAACTGTAATTCATTTGCTTCACTGATTCATTCATTCAGTTCAAAATAGTTGCATTTTGGAATAACGTAGTGATACTCATCGAAAATTGGCTAATTTTGTTTTCGTGAAAAATGGTCGAAGAGAATTCGAAATGTATTTAAGTTGTATTCACAAAGTACTCACAATCCGAAGGAATCATTTGTTTTGATTCCTTATGAAAGTTCCTGGCAAGTATTTAACGAGCTGCGCTGCGCCGTTCATGCAACAATAGTTCATCCAGCTTATAATGACATGCAAATGAAATTGATTGATTAAGTCTAGATACTTAACATACCAATAAATCACCAATAGTAGTCGTGGATGATTTACGAGTGAAATCGAGAACGTTCCTTAAAAATTTTTTTGAGTCAATTTTCTTCGATTTTCGTGATGAATGATAAATAATTCGTAGACGGCCATTTATCATGCACACAGATTGCATCATGCTACGCCATGCCCTATTCTCGTGAACCTAAGTCAACAACAGCTATTTTCCGTGGCTCTTCTTAACGAGAGTTTTTATTGAAGCGATAACTGCATTCGGTAACTGCATCCAGTTCGAAATGAAGGCTTCTGTTTGAGGAGAGCACCGTTATTCATATTCAAGAGAATGTGATATTGCGAAGTGAATAAATACATCAAACATATCCGTCACGGACGTAGAATCGTAACAACTGAGGATATTCTCGATTCGCATGTCGTTTAGCATCCATTCAAATGATTTATAGTGCTGTTCTTGAGAGAATGCTGAAGAGAGCTAAAGTTATGGTGTGCTG